ACTTTTTGTTTTCCTATTTTCTTTTTGGTCCATATTAATATACAGACATATTTTCTGAGTTGTAATTTGTTTCCTTTTCCTGTAACTCACTTGGATTTCTGTCTCAAGTCCCTTTTCCACACAATAGAAGGAAATTTAGTTTAGTCACTTCCTGATAAATGTGGCCAAATTCAGTCGTTTCTCATTTCTGCTCCGTATTCAGTCCATCAGTGTGCTCCCTGGTCTTTCCTCCCCTCCCCCATCCTTGGTATAGATGCTAAGGGGCCCTGGATCTTTGGGAAGGGGCTTCTAGCACTCAGTATCGATCTGCCAAGCCTGTTCTGGCATCTGCTTACTGTCACCTGGGGTCCTCAGCCTTCTCCTTTAAAGCCTGCCTTTCTGTCCCTTCTTCTCTACTGCTGCCAGTAGAGGGTCCCTGCACTGAGTCTGACTCTTATTTCTTCTTCTTTTTTAATTTATTTTTTGGGGCACGCTGCGCAGCCTGTGGGATCTTAGTTCCCTGACCAGGGATCGAACCCGTGCCCCCTGCAGTGGAAGCGCCGATTCTTAACCACGGGACCACCAGGGAAGTTCCTCTTATTTTTTTATACTCCTGTCTCAGCTCAAAGGATCTCTCCCCAGTTCCCCAAATCTAAGAAGCTGACATCTTTGTGCCCTGGTTCCTCGGTGAGAGCGCTGTCCTAGGAGCAATGCCTGCTTCATATCTCCAGTCACAGAGAGGGGGAAGTTAACACATTTAAGGGGAAAAATTATTTAATATTTCATAGTATCAGCCTGCCACATCTATAATTGTCTTGTAATTGTAACTTTGCATTAGGGCCATTTTAACACACTACCAGAAGTACTTTGCTAGTAAGTCATCATAGTGGTCATTTTAGTAAGAAGTTACATCCATTGAGTGACTATAACATAACTTAGTTAATCATCCCCCCATTATTGGACATTTCCAATTTTTATCTATTATACATAACACTGCTGTAAGAGTTAGTGGGTTTTGAAAGAAAATCTTATTTTAACAAAAAGCCTGAGCGTGCAGTTTTATAAAATTGTTCTGAACTAAAGTGGATGGAGCAGTTGCCTGCATGATGGCCTGGTGCCCACTAGCTCTTCTCTTGCTTTTAAGATCATAAATAATTCTGCACATTAGGGGCTCAGGTTCTTGCCCTATGCTGATTGCTATCATTTGTACCACCTCAGCATTGTGAGGTTGCAGTGTTTCGGAAGAGGTTAGAATCCTCGATGGCCAAGAACTGTTATTTTCTGGGGACCGGATCAAGGAAGGAGACTGGACAGGTTAGCACATAGAATTTTCTCTTCATTGGCTTAAACTTAGCTACAACTTTATGGTTTGAAATTCCAGAGCTCTTTTTTTTCTATAGCAGTGAAAATCTAAGTCATTTATGCTAATTTGCTGAACACAGTTGAAAAATTTCATCATTTAGGAAATTCAAGAACTGCATTGTGTTAAAAAAATAAAAATAGGGCTTCCCTGGTGGCGCAGTGGTTGAGAGTCCGCCTGCCGATGCAGGGGACACGGGTTCGTGCCCCGGTCCGGGAAGATCCCACATGCTGCGGAGCGGTTAGGCCCGTGAGCCATGGCCGCTGAGCCTGCGCATCCGGAGCCTGTGTTCCGCAACGGGAGAGGCCACAACAGTGAGAGGCCCGCGTACCGCAAAAGATAAAAAAATTTTAAAAAAATAAATAAAAAAGCAAGGATTTTGATATAGAGCTAACCAAGAACAAGAAAATGTGAATATTCTGATTTCTACAAACTAAATTTGCAAATATGCTTTATCTAAATATACAAGATTTTTATAGAACATTTCCCAGTGTCTACATTTTGAAGTCATTTTTGCTTTTATAAAACACATGGGCAAAAGGTAACCATCTTTTCCAAACAGAATTACAAACACTTGGTGTTCAAGACCAGCAATACTGCTTCTAATAAATGTGAGAGATGAATTATGTGGGTTGGCACACATAGCAAAGTAGGCATTTTGGGGTAGCAAAAAATTAGAAACAGTTGAATGCCCAGCAGTAGAGAGCTGGTTAAAGTATTATGGCATGGATTTGGAATACTGTCGCTGTTAATTTAAAAATGGGCATCTCTCTAAGTACAGTTATCAAAGAATTTCCAGGATGCACTGATAAATTACAAAAAAAGAAAATAATAACGTTCAGAAAAGTGTTTACAGTATTCTAACATTTGTGTAGAAGGAGAGAATGCATATTATGCTTATAAATTCATAGACTATTTCTGAAAGAACATGAAAGGTAATACAAATTGCCCTTAGGGAGGGGAAACAAAGGCTGGGGACAAAGGAGTGAAACAGAAGTTTTTTCATCATATAATCTTCCACCTCTGAAGGTTTGCACTGAGAACATATATTATCCATTTGAAAATGTAATTTTTTTTGGTGGTTCTTCAAAAAGCTAAACATAGAATAACTGTATGACCCAGCAACACCATTCCTGGGTATATATATACCCAAAATAACTGAAAACAGGGACTCAGATACTATATGCCTGTGCCCACTGCAGCATTATTCACAATAGCTAAAAGTGGAAACATTGCAAGTGTCCACCAACAGATGACTGGATAAACCAAATGTGGTCTATATATATAAACAGAATATTTTTCAGCCATAGGAAGGAAGGAGATTCTGACCCATCCTACACCATGGATGAATCTTAAGGATATTACGTTGAGTGAATAAGTCAGCCACAAAAGGACAAATATTGTTTGATTCTGCTTAGCTGAAATATCTAGACCAGGCAAATTCCTAGAGACAGAAAGTAGGTTAGAGGTTACCAGAGGTTGCAGGGAGGGGAAATGGGAAGTTACTGCTTAATTATCACAGTTTCTGTTTGGGCTCATAAAAAAGTTTTGGAAATAGAGATCATGATGGTTCACAACATGTGAAGGTAATTGTTAACACTGAACAGTACACTTAAAAATGGTGAAAATGGTAAATTTTATGTTTCATATATTTTACCACAATAAAAAAAAAATTCAAATAAGATGTAATCTAATTTAAAGAAAAACATCTGTTTAACCTCTTGTCTACCAGAGGCTTCCCAGAAACAAACATTCTTCCAACCTGACCCCATCCTCCCAAAGCAAATAGTGCCAAGTGCATACTGAGTGCAGAGGTCCTCTGTTGGGCACTGCCCAAAACAGAAAGATATGTGGATGCACGTTCAAAAGGGCTTATCACATAGCCTAGCCTAGCAGAGGTACCTGTCACTGTTGTGTAAAGCAAAAAAGATGCTGAGTAGGCATCCCAACCATGTGTAGCGGGAGTGCGGAGGCAGGAGCAAACCAATGTTCACTGCCACATCCAGGATGGCTTGATGGAAGGAGCCGGTTATCAGCTCCTCTCTGCGAGGCAGAGAAGGGCATCCAGGCTCAGGGGGCAGATGAGTTAGGTTGACTAACCTGCCTTACTGGGGGTGCCCCTCTGAGCACCGGACAGTGGTGTCCAGTCACTGGAGTGTGGGCCCGGGAGGACCAGACCGAAGGTGATTCTGTAAAGGCAGTTGAAGCCAGATGGTGTCCATTTTCAACTGTAAAATTCGTTTGGACTTTTAAATACGGGCTGTGAGGAAATAGCTTAGGCATTCTTTCTGTTCTTCCCACTATCCTGTTTACTATCTAGGAATGTGAGCTTCGTACCCTTATTTGACAGAGAACTTTAACCATTTATATTTTTTTAAAAAATGGGTTTTTTCCAACTCAAACTGTGTTTGCCATCTAGCGATTAATCCATGCCATTACAACACCCTGGTTCAGATTCCTCATTTCTCAGCACTACGGTTAAAGCTAATAGGCCTCCAGACTCCGTTCTGTTGGCCATGGCTTCTGTCTCAAACTGCACTTTCCCTGTGCCCTGATATGTACAGTATGTTGGCATCAGAGACCTCAGTAATGAAATCTGACCCCTCTGAGAGTAGTAATAATATTCACCTGAAAGAAAAATGTAGCTATTTAGAAGACAATGCACCTTAGAAATTAAGTATTATGAAAAGTTTAAGTAGGTTCCGATTTGAAAATTAACCGGTAGCAGCATCTTCGTGTGAATGCAGACTTCTCACATAAACTGGCAAGATTCTGACCATAAGGGATACCACAGTCATCTCCAGACTTTCTCTTCTTCCTGTGTGTTTTCTAGAGATAAGGATATTGACAGTCTAGCCTCCAAAGAGGCGATACCTATTTGAACATAATTCTCCAAATTTCTGACTTTCTGAATGCAGATCAAAGTTAGGAGCCACACTTTCTGCTTCTGTTTCTTTTCTTTCAAAAGCTGTTGTTAATCAGTTGGGACAGCAGACCAAGAAATATTGTGTTACATCTACAGGAGATTTAAAACTCAACATCAGTCATTCAAAATTCTTGACAGGCCCAGGGTAACATTTTGCATCTGAAGCAGAGTTTTAGAGATGAATCAGAGTTTCTAAACAATGCTGATTTCTGCATTGGAAAATATACTGGGTTCAATATCTTTTTTTGCCCCTGAGATTTAGGCTGTGGGAGCTCATTTACTCAGTAATTACTAACTGAATGCCTACTATTTGCTGGACTCTGAGCTCGGTACTGTGGCTATAACTTGTTATACATAAAACAGTTAGGATAACATCTTTTTCAAAACTTTATTATAACCCCTCCACCTCCCATGGGGTCCAAGCAAGGCTTTTTTACAGTGAATTTTGTCCTAGGAAGGATTGTGCTATAGAGAGATAGTGGGTACAATTCCCACTTTACTGCCAAGTTCAGCTTATTTTTCAGGTTGTTATGAATCGTTAGCCTGGATAACAGTTTCTGGCCTTTAATCCAACAGCATCCCTTTCCCTGCCAAAGCCTGGAACGTGATAGAATGTATTGTAGGAAGCCATTCACTCAATCTCCAAAACCATGTGAACTGCTTGACTGTCATTTTTAACTGTTACTGTGTCTTTTTTTGTGTGTATGTGCAACTCTTTCCATCTGACTTTTGCAGGGAAAGCCAGAGATACCGGGTTTATGTTGTGATACCACTTCTGCCAGGTTTTGAAGGAGACATTTCAACCGGTGGAGGAAATGCTCTACAGGCAATAATGCACTTCAACTACAGGTGCCAAAGTTCTAAAATCCTCTGTTTACAGCTTTCAATCAGTTATGCATGTAAGCTGGCGAAAGCAATGGAAATGTTTCTCCACATCTATTCAGTGGAGCATTGAACAGATGGACATTTTGCTTTATTTTACTTTTGAATCTTGGCCTATTTACTAGTTGATAAAATTCAAATAGAGCCTAAAATCATAAATGGTAGGCCTAGGACACATGACATATATAAAAGAACTAAAATATTAGTGTCTCTTTTATACTCATTGCCTATCACATATATAGAGTGCTTGTCTCCATTTATGAGGTGTATATATACACACAATATGAATATAAAAAAGACTAATATTTTTGTTCTTTTAATATATATTAATATATTATAAATGGAGACAAGGACTTTACATAGATACAGATATGAAGTCCTTTATACATAATTAATTTTTAAAGATAATTTTAAAATTATCTTTAAGCCACCAAATAGTTATTGAGCTTTCCATATTCTTTGCAGTAAGTAGATGAAAGAAAAAAATTAAATGCTTAAAATGGTATGATTTGCACATATTGGTTTATGATTTTTCTAGGCAGCAATCCTTCAACAAGGTTGGTAATAATAGTCTCTGCCAGTAAGTGAAGCGTGAAGGTTCTTTCCTGTCTCCTGGAATTTTAATTGTTTTCCCTACCATCACTTTGTTAAAATTTTAGGGAACGTGGTAAGTCCTGTTCTCAATATTCTAAAAAGCAGAGTTTCCATATTCACGCAAAAAGGCACATGAGACTTCAGACTTGGCCAGTGGAAGATTATGAGGGGGGTTGAGAGGTGCTAGCTGGTGGGCGGGTGTAGAGAGGTGCTGTAGAAAGTGATGGAAAGGCCCCCCTGATGTTCTTTTTGGGTCGCTTAGCTGGGAAGAGGTAAATGGACAGGCCTGGCATGAATCCAGCTCCCAATTATAAGCTCTGTGACCTGAAGCACAAAAGAGCCCTACTCAGGATCACACTTAATAAGTCAAAGCAAGGACTAGCGCCTGGATATTTTCTTTTAATATCCCCTGTTCGTCAGAATCACCTGTAGTTTCCCACCTTTCTAATCAAATTCTTTTGTGGGGGAGGGACAAATGAAGTCTTGCCCCAAACCCCCAGTGTGTAAAGCAGATAAGGGTTCAGGGCCTTGGTCAAATTGGGGCTGGGGGCTTAGATGCCCTCTTGCTTGAGTCCCCCTCCCTAGAGGCACCTCCTCAAGATCTAAGGTCCTCCAGGCACAGTTTGAGCGCACCACTGCGGTGGAAATCTTTTTTTTTTTAATTTTCTTGCTTCTTTCCGACTTTTTAAGCTTGTATCTTTCTGTCTGCCAGGGTTTCAAGTAAGGCATTTTGTTTCATCTGAGGTAATTTTGCCTCATTACAGTATGAGAAAACTTTAACTGTGCTTTGGTCTATACACTTGGATTGAAGATTTGCCCATTTCTAATATTATCTGATTTATAACATGGCAAACAAAGCTTTTCAAGTATTTAAGGCACTTAATGTTTTAAGTATTTAAGGCAATAATGTTTAATTGGATTTTATCCACTTCATTTGCCACGCTAACATTATTTTTGGAATATTGTCAATTGTAATTATTTTCTGTAACTATTTTCTTGGGTTTGAACCAACTGAATGAAATAACATGCTTCGCTTTTGTTCAGCAACCAAAACTATAACCTTTTACTATGCAAAAACATCTCTATTTTCTGGCATCATCTTTAATAATATCAGCATTTCCCAGGCATAACAGTACTTTTAATTACTTTCACAGAGCAAGCAGATGGAACATAGAATTTTTTGTCTTGTCGGTCTTTATAATTCATCGACTATTATCGGAGTCTTGAGACGCAAAATCATTAGTAGAGGCAGCTATTTGAGACTATATTTTTCACTTTTAAGGGGTTTTCTGACTTTACAGAGACAGCTCAGGTATAATAGTTTCCTTAATTCCAGAATTACTCTGCTAAGTTTGCCCTTTTCACCTCTGAAAGTAATATGATTCTGTAGGTATTCTTACCTATTGTGGCATTCTAAGTTTATCTTTGCAGTGGCCACATTTTCTAAGTGGGAAAGCTCATTCATAACCCATCTTTTAAAAATAGCATCTCTTTCTGAAATCTAAGATCAATTTTATAACTTTTCCATTTACGCACTTCAAAATAACTTGTCACATCAATAACATTACAGAAGTGACATTCATATGTTTTTTTGGCTTTTAAAAAAAATCTATGTAGCATCTTCTCATAAAAGCACTTGCTCTATTTTTACTTGGATTAGGACTCTACCCCACAGATATTGCAGTTGAAACCTTTGAAACATCTATAATTATTTCTTTCCTTTACATATGTTCAGAACCATGTGCAGAGGAGAAAATTCCATCCTTGGACAATTAAAAGCAGAGAGTAAGTAACTGCTTTTCTTTTCCTCCATGGTTGTTTTTGGTGACATATCAGTGATTATTAATGTTTTCACAGTGTGGTTATAGGACTCTTCACAAAAGGTAGCCCACAAAATGCTTAACAGAAATAAATTACTTATTCTCATTAAACTGTCCAAACAGAGGTTCAAATGAAGACATCACAGCATGAGCTGCATAGGTGATAAAAATGAGAGTATGTTTACAATTTTTTATAATTTATTTTTATTTATTTATAATAATTGTTTTGATAAGAAGTGGGATTTGTAAGGCACTTCAAAATGACCCCACATGTATCTTCTCCTGCGATCCTTCACCACAGTCCTGGGAAGTAAGCAGGAAGGTGTCATCCCTGCTTTAAAGATGAGGACACAGTCAGCATGTATATACGTGGCTTCCTACAGATGTAGAAGTCCCAGGGTTCTCACACACTGTCATATTTAGGGAGGAAAACTAATTATATAACCGTTTTAACACCATAACACTTGACTAAATCTTCGAGGGTATTATACTGGAGGTAAGTAAATAAGAAAAAAACCCACAGTAATACCTTTTACTCCTGAAATTCTTCACATTTTCAAAGGCACTTTCTCAGATATCTTAATTGATCCTTCCACATAGTTCTTAGCTACAGTACATTGTAATTGTGGGTTTACTTACCTATATCTCGACCTGACTCTAAGTTTAGCACATAGTAGGTACTCAATCATCTTTTATACCCTGAACAGTAGGTACAGAAAATTCCACAAGAACTAAGCTGAAGAAAGAACCCAAATTGTCTGACCTGCAGTTCATATCGGATTAAGATTGTGAAAATTTGTAGGTCACATTAAAAAGACTAGATTTTTATCCAGAAAAAGACAAGGTATGGTGTTGGATGCCTCTGATCACTGATTGAACTCATCAAAGTGGTGTTTATATCAAAGCTCACTGACTGATGGCAGGTGAGAGAAAATGGTGCCTTGGGAATGGATCGAAAGGTTATGTATGGATAAAACTGTGAAGGAGCATTTGAGGGGATGTGGGAGCAGAAGAGTAAGAGAAGGGTCAGATAATCCTAAGAGTTTCAACCCAACTCATCAGGAGGATGGAGCTGCCACAGGAAGGTCTGAAAAGTCAGGAGGAGCCACCACAATCATATGATGCCATGTGGTGTGGCGTTCACATATGCTATACACCTCAATTGAGGTTTTTGAAAATTTTATTTCACACTGGGAGCCTCCTAAACGTGGTACACTGGGTGATGTATCAGAATGTGGGGAGAAAAAATTAGGCCTTCCATGTATGTATATTTTTCCTTAAAAATAAAGAATTAGGACATTAGCAGGAATAGTATAGTAAGGATCCCCCCAAATCCACTCCTACATAAAAGCAACAAAAGCACTAACAAAAATTGTCAAAACTCAACTTTTTCAGCACTCTGGAAATTAACCAAGGGCATGTAACAATCTGTTTATTCAAGAAAGACAGCAGAGGGCTTCCCTGGTGGCACAGTGGTTGAGAGTCTGCCTGCCGATGCAGGGGACACAGGTTCGTGCCCCGGTCCAGGAGGATCCCACATGCCGCGGAGCGGCTGGGCCCGTGAGGCATGGCCGCTGAGCCTGTGCATCCGGAGCCTGTGCTCCACAACGCGAGAGGCCACAACAGTGAGAGGCCCGCGTACCGCAAAAAAAAAAAGAATCTTGGTAAAAGCAGCAAGCTTTTTAATTTTCCATATGCCCATCCCCTTCTCTTCATTCCATGTGGCCTTGAAAAACAACTCCTCATCACTGTGAAAGAAAACCAAGAACCTAGCAGCCACTGGAAGGAGCCAAATGGGTTTGAAGCTCCCACCCCCCAACAATTCTCAGAGAATTGTCCTAATTTCACCCGTCTGACAGTTTAAAAGACTTTAAAATGGCTAGTTTAACTATGTTCAAAAAACTAAAGGCAACAAATCTAAAGACTAAAGAGAAGTCTAAAAACAATCTCTCCCCAAATAGAGAGTATAAAAAAATAGAATTTTTTAATTTAAAATTTTTATTAATTTTTTTACATAAAAAGAACCAAATACGAATTCTGGAGTTGAAAAGTATAACAACTGAAATGAAATGTACATTGGAAGACTCAATAGCAGATTGGAGCAGGCAGATGAATCAACAAACTTGAAGATAGGTCAATTGAAATTATCCAATCAGAGGATCAGAAAGAAAAAAGAATGCAGAAAAATGAATAGGGCATTTAGAACAGCCAAAATACTCTTGAAAAAGAACAAATTGGAGGACTCATGCTCCCAATTTCAGAACTTACTATAAACCTACAGGAATAAAACCAGTGTGGTGCTGATGTAAGGATAGACATATAGATCACAGGAATAGAACTGAGAATCCAGAAATAAACTCTTATGATTATGGTCACTTGAATTTCAACAAGGGTTCCAGGACAATTCAACGGAGAAAGAATAATCTTTTCAGCAAATGGTGATGGAACAACTGTACATTCACATGCAAAACAATGAAGATGGACCTCTACCTCACACCACATACAAAAAATAAGTCAAAATGGATCAAGACCTAAAATGTAAAAACTGAAACTATAAAACTCTTAGAAGAAAACATGGGCAAAAAGCATTATGACCTTGGATTATGCACACGTTTCTTGGGTTTATAACAAAAATATAAAAATGGATAAATTGGATTTCATCAAACATAAAAGCTTTTGTGCTCCAATGGACACTGTCAAGGAACTAGAAAAAAATGACAGAATGGGAGAAAATGTTTGCAAATCATATCTCTGGTAAGGGATTCATATCCTGAATATACAAAAGAACATTTACAAGTCAACAATAAAAAAATAATCCAATTTAAAAATGGGCCAAGGATCTAAATAGACATTTCTCCAAAGAAGGTACACAAATGGCTAATAAGCGTATAAAAAGATGCTCAACATAATTAATCATTAGGGAAATTCAAATGAAAGTCACAAGATACAACTTCATATCCACTAAGATGGCTATAATTTAAAACATAAAAAAGATAATGATGAGAATATGAAGATATTGGAACCCTCATATGTTGCTGCTGGTCATTCAAAATGGTATGGGTTCTTTGGAAAGCAGTTTGGTAATTCCCTAAAAGTTAAACATAGAGTTACCATATGACTCAGCAACTCTCCATAGGATATACCCAAGAGAACTGAGAACATATGTTCACGCAAAAACTTGCACATGAATATTTCTAGCAGCATTATTCACTATAGCCAAAAGGTGTAAACAACTCAAGTATCCATTAATGGGTGAATGAAGAAACAAAATGTGTATATCCATACAGTGGAATATTATTTAAATCTAAAAAGAAATGTACTGATCCATGTTACAACATGGATGAACCTTGAAAATATTATGCTATGTGAAAAGAAGCAAGACACAAAAGGCCACATATTGTATAATTCCATTTTTTTTTTTTTTTTTTTTTTTT